GGACAATTACATAATAATCAGCACCATTTGTGCCCATTTGCAGCAAGACCTGGATTGGGCTTATAAGTGGTAAGTAACATTTGTGTCAAACAAGTACAAGGTAATGCTCATCTCCAACATGACAGAATCTCACCATCGCCCTTTGATATTCAATGGCATTAGCATCTCTGAATTCCCCATTATCAACTTCCTGGGGGGTTACTATCAAGCAAACTGAACTGGCCTGGAAGATTGTGCTAGGGAACAATTTTGTTTCTGTTGATGTCCCACATTGCAAAAGATAAGGCTGAAGTATTTGCAGCAATTTTCAGCCAGAAGGCCAAGCAGATGATCCATCTGGGCCTCCTCCAGTGGTCCAAGCGTCACAGATACCAGTCCTCTGCCAACTTGATTCACTATGTACTATCAAGAGACAGTAGAAGCACTGGATACTGCAACAACTATGGGCCCTAATAACATTCCTACAATAGTAATGAAGACTTGTGCTCCAGAACTTCCCACGCTCCTAGCTAAGTTTTTCCAGTCCAGTTACAACACTGACATCTATCTGACAGTGAGAAAAATTTCCAGGTATGTCATATACACAAAAAGCAGGAAAAATTTAACCCAGCCAATTACCATCCCATAGTCTACTCTCGATCACCAGTAAAGTGATGGAAGGTGTCATCAACAGTGCTATCAAGCAGCTCTTGCTCAACAATACTCTGCTCAGTGATTCCCGGGTTGGGCTCCTGATCTCACTACAGCCTTGGTTCAAACATGGACAAAAAAGCTGAATTCTAAAAGGCAAGGCGAGTGTGACAGCCCTTTATTTAAAGGCTGCATTCGACCAAGTGTGGCATCAAGGAGACCTAGCGAAACTGAAATTATTGAGTATCAGGGCTGGAGTCATACCCGGCCCATAGGAAGATGGTTGTGGAGGTCAGTTATCTCAGCTCCCGGACATCTCTGCAGGAGTTCTTCAGGATAGTGCCCTAGGCCAAACCATCTTCAGCTGCTTCATCAATGACCGCCCTCCATCATAGCGTCAGAAGTGGGGATGTTCACCGATGATCACACCATGTTCAGCACCATTTGTGACTCCAGTACTAGAGCAGTTCATGTTCAAATGCAACAAGATCTGGGCTTGCGCTTGTAAGACAAGTAACATTCACACTTCACAAACGCCAGGCAATGATCATCTCCAATAAGAGACAATCTAACCACTGCCCTTTGACATTCAATTTGTTACCGTTACCTAATTCTCCACCATCCACATCCTTGAGGTTTCCATTGACCAGAAACTCAACTGGACTTGTTACATAAACAACGGCTATAAGAGCAGGTAAAAGGTTAGGAATACTGTGGCAAATAACTCACCTTCTGAGTCCCCAGGGTCTGTCCACCATCTACAAGGCACATGTCAGGAGTGTGATGGAATATTTCCTACTTACCTGCATTAGTGCAGCTCCAGCAACACTCAAGAAGCTTAACATCATCCAGAATACTGCTTGCAATTCTGGTCGCCCTTCTATAAGAAGCATGCTGTTAAATTTGAGAGGGTGCAGGAAAGATTTACAAGGATGTTGCTGGGACTGGAGGGTTTGTGCTACAGGGAGAGGCTGAATAGGCTGGGGCTTTTTTCCCTAAAGATGAGGGGTGACCTTACAGAGGTTTGTAAAATCATGAGGAGCATGAATAGGGTGAATAGTCAAAGTCTTTTTCCTACGGTGGGGAAGTCCAAAACTAGAGGGCATAGGTTTAAGGTGAGAGGGGAAAAATTTAAAAAGTAATTTTTTCACCCAGACGCTGGTGCATGTATGAAATAAGCTGCCAGAGGAAGTGGTGGAGACTGGTACAATTACAACATTTAAAAGGTATCCAGACGGGTACACGAATAGGAAGGGTTTAAGAGGGATATGGGCCAAAGTCAGATTGGAAAGTACGGCTGGCACGGATAAGTTGCACCAACAGGGTCTGTTTCCATGCTGTATGACTCTATAATAAAGCAGCCCCCTTAACTGGCACCACATCCACAAGCCACTCCTTCTAACACTATAGGAATACCACTACCTGCAAGCTCCTCTCCAAGCAACTCATCATCCTAACTTGGAAACATCACTGTTGCCAGGTGAAAATCCTGGAACTCCTTCCCTATGAAAATTGTGGGTCAACCTTCAGTACATAGACTGCAGTGGGTCAAGAAGGCAGCTGACCATCATCTTCAAGGGTAACTTGGGACAGGCAATAAATGCTGGTCAATCAGTGATGCCCATATCCCACAAGTCAATTAAAAAAAAGTCACTCTTGGGAGCAGCAGGCAGGAAGGGGTGTAAAATTAATGTTGACTTCATCAGATAGAGGTTGATGGTGGAGGTGGAGAGTTGGGAAGTTCATGGGTGATGAGGATGAGAGATCAGGGTTGGGTGGATGTTGAGAAGGATGATCACTAGAGCATCAGATCACAGAAGCAGATGTTCAACTGTATGGAGGTAGGCCAATCATTGTATGATCATTCAGATCTGCAGGGGAATGCATTCTTGCTCCTTTTGGCGTACAAGCAGTTCTAAAAAAAAAGCACTTACCTGTTCCATTGCTTGCCTCCATTCAGCTCTGGGTTTCTCCGAATGCTGGAACACTGGCCCCGCAAGCAATGGAAGTAAAAATAATAAAACTTGAGGCACACAACTTTATTAAAATATTTAACCTACTGAACTGCTTCTCAGGAGCGGGTCAGTTGTCCACACCCTCTCAACTGGCTGTCAATGCCAGCATACCTAGTCAGCACAGTTTCTTATTTTTAAGATTATAATCTAACATTTCATGACCCCACACTTCTCAGGGAGTAAAACACCTCTCCATCAAAAGCAAGGCAAGATTTCAAGACCTACCATTAGGTTTTAAGTTTAAATAACGGTCAAGGTCCACACAGTAAGTCATCTGTAATTTCCTTTCTGAATTGACTAATTAGTGGCCAAGGAAGAACTCATAATCCAATTAAGGACAGTGGATGTGCATTTGAAACTGGATAGACAACAGGCAACACTCCTCCTGAGATATAACAGCAGGCTACCTCTCCAGTTAAGCAACAGATAGGGTGACCCAAATTGGGGGCGCCACAAACAAATTTAAATTTAAAATGGCATGTCATTCACATGAAAACCTAAAAATTCTGTTCTACATATATGTCAATTTTGATTTGGACTTTTGAAATTTGGATATTTTTGTAATGGTGCCCATAACAGCCATCATTGTTGTAAAAACCCATCTGGTTCACTGCTGTCCTTTAAATTTGCCATCTACACTCTACAGCCTATATGCGACTCAAGACCTTAAGCAAAGCAAACTGATCAACTCTTAACTGCTGTCTGAAATGGCCTTGCAAGCCATCCAGTTCAAGGGCAATTATGGATGAGCAACAAATACTTGCCTTACCAGCAAAGTTCACCTCCTTGAAAAAAGCAAATAATTATAATGCTGATTCTCAAGGATGGGTGCTTGTACATTGTTGCACCGATAAGAATTTAGCAACAGGAAGATCCAATGTGCTTTTTATTCAGTCTGTCTTTAATTTGGACTAATGCTCCCCAAGCAAGGAAAGGATATGTATATGTTATTCAAGTAGAGTCAGAGTCACACAGCATGTAAACAGACCCTTTGGTCCAACTAGTCCATGACAACCATGTTCCCAAAACAAACTAGTCCCACTTGCCTGGGTTTGGTCCATATCCCTCCAAATCTTTCCTATTCATGTACTTATCCAAAATATATTTTAAATGGTGTAATTGTACCTGCATCCACCAGTTCCTCACCAGAAGTTGCCCCTCGTGTCCTTTTTAAAGCTTTCTCCTCTCACCTTAAAAATATGCCTCCTAGTTTTGAACCCGCCCATCCTAGCGAAAAAAAAACTCCTTACTTTCACCTTATCTATTCCCCTCACAATTTTGTAAATCCCTATATGGTTATCCCTCAACCTCCTACATGCCAGTAAAAAAAAATTCCCAGCCTACCTTTATAAATCAAACCTTCTATTCCTTGCAACATCCTGATAAATCTTTTCTGAACTCTTTCCAATCTTATAATATTTTTCCTATAGCAGAGCAACCAGAACCGTACACAGTACTCCAGAAGAGGCCTCATCAAGTCCTGTAGAACCTCAAATGACATCCCAACTCCTATACTCAGAGGCCAAATTCCCTGCAAAAAGTTTTAGAGACTACAAGTCTCAAAGAAATGCTGTAAAATTACATACATGGATGTACATGCCAAAAGCAAAAGAAAATCTCAAATCCTTGCTTCTTCTCCCTATGCCAACAGATTTATTTATTAGTCTACCAACAACAAAAACAAGTAATATCACAAACTGAAGGAAGAACCCAAGTACTATCAAGTTGTTTAATTCAATTTTTGAATACCTTTAAATACATATCAATTCATTCAGGGAAGCAGTGCAAAAGGCTGCAGCCCATCATTGGCATTACTGAAGCAAGCCACATACACCACAAATGTAGCAAACTACAATATGCCTCTCCCAGTGAATTGGCTTTTTCCAGGTCCTTCTTGATCATTGGCCAAGGTACAAGACTATTTGGTACACTAGTGCTTTTCTTCACAAACTGGCATACAGCCTAGAAGGAAGACTAGAGCATAAACAATTTGCCCTACCAGTGTAAAATATTATTTCATCTCATGTCCATTGTATGGTGATACACTGTTTAATCAACCTTCTGTCCAACAAATGCAATATGTAGCAGACAGAACATCAGGATGCTTAACTAAACAACAATTTTCAACACAAAATTAAAAATTTGCTGTTAGAAAATATGCTACATTATGCTGAGGTAACTGCTATTGTTGAATGAATAAAACAATATCTCAACAGTGAGTGTATAACTCTAGGCATTCTAAAAATATAGATATGAATCTAAACACTGGCTGGATTGTACAGTTAGACCTAAGATGGTATTTGATGGTCAAATTTTCAGCCCATCAAGTCCAGTATATAAGATGCACGTTCTTACCAACTTTAAGATCTGACGCACTATCCCACTTGTATTTAACCGATGAATGTACAGATTTTTGTTCATCTTTCTCATATGCAAAGTTCTTCTTTATATAGTTCCTGAAATTAGCAGAGGAACAGACAAAAAGGCAAAAATGAACTAATCACATATTGGTTCCAGGAATAATACATCTTCAGCTATGCACCGTGCACATGTATACACTTAAGTCACTCAAATGTCAGTGGACTCAAGTAATAGCCTAACGACATAAAAGGTTTTAAAGATTCAAACAGCGGATATCTGAAATGAATGCAGAAAAATGCTGCAAATGCACAGCATCTGAAAATTTAAGATTTACGGTTCAGGAGAGCTCTTTCATAAGAACTTTTTTGCTGAAGGATCAGAACCTGACAACATTGTGCTTCTTTTTTCTTGCGTGAAGACTACATAAATGTGGAATAAAACTGCATTTTTCATTAACCGCCAGCTGTTCCCATTGGACATTATCTTTCCATAACAGGTCTAAAATAAAAATCTTACAAAATAAAAATAAAGGCAGGTTATTACATCTGCTGAGTTAATATTTCTGTTCTCATACTGTTACTCTTCAGACTCAAAACGGAAATATAAGTGCTCAAGTAGATAAAGGTAAGGTCACCGTAGTCTCAGAGGAACATAAGGCTGTTCTCTCATTAGAGAGGGATGATTGATTTATTCTGAGGGTCACCACGCCTCAACAAGGGGAAGAGGTTGAGAAGATGGGACCTTCATGGTGACCTCAGCTGGTACAGGAATTGAACCCACGCTGTTAGTATCTCTCTGCATCATAAACCAGCCATCTAGCCAACTAAGCTAACAAAACATGGAGAGTAATATTAACACAGCAGATTTTTAAGGCAAGTTCATTCACACAGGCTGTTATTTGAAGCACTTGGACAAAAGGTGGTTAAGATATCAAAGTTTTTCCATTAAAACTGATTTGCCAAAGACTACAAATAGTATAACAAGTAATTAGCTTGATTCTCAGTAAATATAAACATATCACAACCATTGGACTAGGAGCTCTCTAGCTCTCGGCACTTTTCTATCTCTACGTTTTACCCATTTTAACAGTCTTTAATTACGTTCAATAAAAATATTTTCATGGCATTTTACTCAGTGGAATAATTATATATATACTGTGCTTCACCAACTGAATACCTCAGTTATTTGAATAATGGACAACATATTCCTAAATTATATTTGAAAAAAAAATTAGTTAAATACATGCTGTATATCTCCTGAAGTCATATTGGTGGTGTCATGTTAAATGACTCCTAGATCATTCAGATCAATTTTCCTTCCTTTGCAAAGTACAAAAAGGCAACTATAAAAACTTATCCATCCATATATATTCTTAGATAAATGAAATGCATATATTTACAGAGTAGAACTTTTCTTACCTCTCTTCTTCTCTGTCTAGGTCTGCTTCTTCATTTTGCTCCCTTGAAACAAATTGAATTTGGGCAGCTTTTCGTTCACTGTCCCGCACAGGTCTATCATCTGTTGATGACAAGTAGCATCTGAATATATTTAAATTAATAAATATAGTCCAAAAACACAAGCAGAACTGAAATAAAACCTGATGATGAGTCCAAAGGTCAAGTACTCTGGGTTACGTTTAATGATGAATGATTAGTCAAGGTAACCAGAGCTCTCAAGTAAAATTACAAGCCATGCGGAACTGGCAACCGACAAAATGAATATCCTCTCAGTCAATCTATGCAGGATGCTTTGGTAGTTAATTATCTGCCTAGATGATACTAGTGATCACATATCTGTAAATATTCAGCTGAAATGTAAAACTACCAATATATTTATCAGCCACATTTTGTGGGTTAATCAGAATAAACAGGAAAAAAAATTACTTTGTGAGATTAATATATACTGGTATTTTTATAGTGGACTGAAACCAAAAGAAAAACATCTAATGGGCCATTTTTTCACCCATTCACATAACGTATCCACATCCACTTGCACATTTCTTATTTCTGCATTGTAACTTACTGTCTCACCTGCAGATCTGGCTATAATACCTTCTATCCCTGCATCCAAGTCATTACTATTGATTGTAAATAGTTGGGGCCTGAGGACTGAACCCTGTGGCACCCCACTAGTTACATCTTGCCAACTAGGAAAAGACCCATTTACCCAACTCTCTGCTTTTTGTGGGCTAGCCAATCCTCTAGCCAATCTAATACACTACCCCCAACCCCATGCAATATTATCTTATGAATTAGCCTTTTATGCAGCATCTTACCAAATGCCTTCTGGAAGTCTAAATCTACTGCCTGTACAGAATACGCAATGACCACTTCGCTTGTTACATCTTCAAAGAACAATATACACTTACCAGATTTCTAAACCCGATCGCCCCACCTTCTCCCCTTTACCAAGAACTGCAATGTTACACAGCACTATATAAATATGAAACTGGTTAATCCTTTTAGTTGTGGTTTACAAGTGTAAAAAAAACTAAGTATCAAGTATCTTCTAAGATACTGTTGAAAAACATAGAATCTGTAAATGTAAATGTTTAAAAATAATTGTTTCCCCTCAGTTCTGGAGCTGTTCTGTTTTACCTTTAAAGGGATTTGCATTTTTAACATTGACACCATGGTTCTCCATAATATATCTAGTTGAGCTAATTGGTCCACATAAGGAATCTCTTTGTTGCTTTAAACTTCAAACAAAGCATCATTTGCTAAAGGTTACTGATGGATAAATATGTTTAATCAACCTATTCAGGCAAGTAATGACATACCTCTGGAGCAGGCAGTGCTTGAATCCAGGCCTTATGGCACACTGGTAGGAACACAGCCCCTGCACCAGAAGAGCTCTTAGCCTGTTTGAGTAACTAGGGTCAACCAGAGTTTGATACAGCATTACTTCTACCCCTTGGCATTCCAGTCCCTTTAGGCAAAAGGCCTACATTCCATTTGTTATTTTCATAAAATCATAGAGACAACAATTGTATACCTATGAAGTTACAAAGTTACTGATGTTGAACTGATACTAACATTTTTTTTGTACCTATATGGTAAATTTTAGTGACATGGACCCTGAATTCTCTGCTCCAAGTTTCCAGCTTCTCACATTTAAGAAAATATCCTGATCCAAGGACCAAAGTGGATGATGTCATTCCCTACACCGAATTTCATCTGCCACAATTTTTTACATTCAATTTATCAAAGCCTGTTTGCAACTTTCTGCTCCCGACTACACTACACATTTAGTATAATGAATAAACTTGAAAAGTTTCAGTACTTCATTTAACTCGTTGATAAATATGCCAAGACACAAGCCCCTGTTTAAATCACCAGGGAACACACCCAGTCACAAACCACAAAATTGGAATACATAACTATTATCCCTAATCCATCTCCTACCACAACCAATTCCCTACCTATATCAATTGGCTTCCACCAAGTCCACAACTTATGTTTTTGTTAGGTCTTCTGTGTGGAACCTTCTGTATGGCAGATGATGGAATTTGAATTCATTAAAAAAAAAATCTGGAACTAAGAGCCTACATATGATTCCAGACCCACAGCAATATGGTTGACCCTTAATTAAGGACAGACAATAAATGTTGGCCCAGCCAGCAATGCCGTCATTCCATAAAAATAACAAATAAAAAAATCTCACTAAATGAATATCGCAAGTCCACATAAATGTCATCTGTAGACGCTCCTTGTATAACACCTTAGTGATCTCATAAAACCTCAACCAGGTTTGTTAGACTCCAATCCATATGCCATGATAAATGACAGAAGTTAAAATGCTGGTTAGACAGAATCTAGTCATATACTTCTTTTTTAATAACAGTTCTAATTCTAATTCACATGCCAGAAACTCCAGCCAGTAATAATTTGTTCCCCATATTTATATATGCAGATCTCAACAATTATCTATTATTTAACTAATTTATAACCATCATCTATTCCCTAGTTCCACTAGGTCTGCCAGACCCGAAGATTTTCTATCTTAGTTTTTTAAAATAAATTAAAATGTATAATAATAAAAACTCAAAAAGACAAAATAGGTGAAAAATTACATTGTATGCACACTTTTTTAAATTATACATTAAAGTTACAAAAGCCTTTTTTTAAAAAATGTTTCTTGGAACTTGTTCCTTTCTTTGAAAGATGATCAGATAGCTGACTGCCAACATCCACCCATTTCAATTTGATTTGATTTCATTGGATTGATTTTATTGTCATGTGTACCAAAATACAGTGAAAAGCTTTGTTTACGAGTGGTACAGGCAGATCACAGCAAACAAAGGATGTACAGATCAAAAAGACTAAGAAGCTTACAAGTTACATTGCAGGTTACATTATTTGAGGCGAGAGTCCATTCAACAGTCTGATAACAGCCGGAAAAAAGCTGTTCCTGAACCTGCTGGTGTGTGTGTTCAGGCTTCTGTACCGTCTGCCTGATGGAAGAGATTGTAGGAGGTCACTACCAGGGTGCGATGGGTCTTTGATGATGCTGGCTGCCTTTCCACAGCAGCGAGCCATGTAATACAGTCCATGGATGGAAGGTTGGCTTCTGTGGTGGTCTGAGCTGTGCACACCACCTTTTGTAGTTTCTTACGAGCCTGGGCAGAGCCATTGCCATACCAGGCCATTACGCACCTGGACAGTATGCTTTCAATGGTGCATCTTTAGAAGTCGGTGAGGGACCTTACAAGGATATGCCAAATTTCCTGAGCCCCATACACATACGACTGTGTTGCCAAATTCTGAACGAACGCTATCTACAAGTTCGCTGACAACACCACCGTAATGGGACAGATATCTAACAACGACGAGTCAAAATACAGAAGGGAGATAGAGGGCTTGGTGACAGAGATTTCTCTGTTCTGCAACATCTGTTTTAAAAATGCAATATTGATTCTCAGTCTTTTTCATTCACGCATGTTGTTGAATGTATATTATTTCGCAGTGACTTATTATAGATACAAAACTCTTTGGGCATTGCTGCTGAATCCCTTTTTAGAATTTCTTACACTATATTCATAAAGGGCAAAGTACCATATCTACTGCAAGAGCAAGAATTTGTCACTAAGGTACTTTTGACTACTCTTCTGATCATGTCAGCTTCTGAAAATAAAGGGCAATTCTTTTCCTAGTTCTCTTCAAAACAAAATTATAAATCCCCTGTACTCAAACAATCACAGAGAACATTAAAAACAATAATCTTCCTGTTCCTCACATCTCCTCATGGTGGAAGTTTCAAAACACAATGCAATATATTTTTAAAAGCAATGCTATTTCTTAAATGTTTTTTAATTGTTTGTTCACTAAATAATATCTTCCATATTTGAATCGTTCATAATACTAAACTCTAAGATTTCAAAACTGATACCCAACCTCCTTTGAGTTCCCAATTCAACTGTCCAATTAGATTTTTCAATTCCTTCAGTTTAGTATTGTAAGCTGTTACATCTTTTCTTGAGGTGTATTTTGATTAACATTAATAGGGATAAAATTTTCCAAATAAGATTGCTGATCTAAAGTAACACTCAATCCTGACTCCCAATTTTAAATTCTGTTCAAGTCCATTTATGACAAATTCACTGCAAAATTCAAATTCACTATTTTCATCCACAGAAAAGATATCAAATTTACAACATAAAGATGCCTGAAAGCTACCCCGTGGTCCCAATAAAACATAGCAGAATCCAATTTCAACTGGAGACACACCAGTTTAATAATATAGACCTTATTCTGGACTATCTAACTCTAGAGGCATTATTTAGGTCATACATATTTATTTAATTTCCAGCTGCCCCCCCTAGTTTTGGTGTCTCTTTTGGAGGGTAGAGAAACTTTTCGAAGTTAAATTTCACCCCAGAAATGCCAGCAAGAGCAGAAGCCCACGATTGGGAAATCCTAGTAGATCCTAACAAAATAGACGTTAAATTAATAGAACTTGTCAAACAGCGAGAATTACAAAATTGAAGAAATCTTGGGTGTATACAGATGTGTTAGATTGGTGAATTATCAGCCCTAGAAATGTAGCTTTAATATCAAATATTTGAAATTCCTTGGCATTTATTTTCAGAAATTTTCAGAATTGTTTTTCATGCTGTTGGTGAATCTGCTCTTATATCCTGGTCACCCAATCTTTCTTGAAAATATTGTGCCACTAGCCTGGCTTTAACCTGAAGTCCTATCAAAAATGCCTCTTTAGCCCATAGCCACCTAAGTGATGGGGCTAATTATCCCCATCTAACGGTACACCCAAATGCTCTCCAGTTTTGTAATTCTTGTTGTTTGGTAGTTTTTATTCATTTATTTTCTAATTTGTTAGTATCCACTAGGACTTCCCAATCATGTGGGCTTCTGCTCTTGCTGGCATTCCTGGCCTGTAGTATATTCCTTGACCTTTTTTAAGCTATGTCCTGTAACTTACCTTCTACTTCTTTATGGACTGTTACTGTTTTATTTCACCCTCCTGTTATTATATGGATTCCTTTCCACAGTTTGTGAAATCTTTCTAGGGGTATGTTCTCTCCCAAGGCCACTGTCAGAGCTTTTCTTGTCTTCTATTTTTGTGCTTCATGTTCCAAATACATGGTTGTTACATTTTCCAGTGAACTTTCTTGTTCTACTTATAGTTACTGTTCACCACTGACATCAGAACTAATCCCCCCTTCATCTGGCAAGCTGTCAATTACCAGTCTGATCCTCATAGCTGTGCAACATATGGTTGAAAGAGGTAGCCAGTTCCTGGTTACTTTCTATAACGTTTTCTACAAACCGAAAATGTGAAACCAATATCTAGCAATCTTGACAAGTAACTGAACCATCTGGTTTCCATACTGTACAATTATTATTTTCCATTTTTACCAATAACCTTTCCCATACATTCATTCTTTAAGCCCCTCTCTTTCATAATAAACCATGTCTACTGATTGAATCAGGTTTCCAACTTTCATTATGTCTTAAGGCTTGTCAAACTCTTTCTGTGACTTAGCCTTTAATTAAAGGCTTTCTGCCTACATTATCGTACATTCAAATTCTCCAATGAAGTAAAGCTATTTGCAGTTCCCTCCAAGCTGGGGCTGATCATTTATTATTGATGGAAATGTAGGATTTCCTCTAAAAAAAAATTAACAGAGATTATATCCTCCTACCATCTGCAGCAATTTCTTAGCATGTGCAGCCCATGCTGGTGCATCCCATAATTTACAGTATGGCTTATCTGCCAAATGCTAAGAATTATTTTGTCTATTACAGTATGGTTCTTTCACACTGCCCATTGCTGAAAAGACTTTGTAATAATTATGTTCAGACTTGCACAAATATTTGTAAATTCAACATTAGCAAACTCCCTCCAATAATCAGCAACTGAATTTGACAATGGTCCAAGTTCAGTTCTTACTCACTTTTCCATTATGTCAACAACAATGATTTTCTTATCTTTAATATGTATCATTGTCAAACTGACTAAATCTGGTTGCCAAATTTATAATTCTTTTTGTTTCTTAATCCATACCTTTAAATCAATTACTTCTACTTCATCAAAATCCCTTACTAAAGGGGAGACTTAACAATGACCATGACAGGGTATTTTGGTATTTAACATTTATTGCATCTTTTCTATAAGCTTATTACATACTTCATCTTTGATCCCTGCATCCTTTACTAAAAATTTTAATGTTTTGTAAGATGGTTGGGCAAATTGCCTACGCAGTTTTAATGCAACTAGGTTTTTTTGTATCAAAATTTCAGCGCTCATGCAATAAAGCTTCTTCAATTTAGTGGGGAGGTTAATGTTTTATTAAAAAGAAACAAAGTCCCGATAGTGTAAATTGCAATTTTGTAGATCAATCCCCTACTACTCAGTCTGGGTAGCATTTGAAACAATCTATTCCATATAATGTGGACATGCATCTACTGTCCAAAGCTGTGCAATTGAAAGATTTTTCCACAAACATCACTGTCTTGAAACTTCTTGTGATCAATACAATCTTATCTTTGATCCATATTCTTCCTCCAAATCTTCCATATCATGTTTAGTTTTGAAACTCTTATTATATTATTTGGAACATTCCCTGACGTTATCATATTTTGAATCATACCTAAACTATTGATTAACCACACCATGGGCATTTTTGGATTTCAGTCTTTTAGTGTAAGTCCCAAATTCTCTTTGCTTCTTAAAACTGCCGAAAACATTTCTGTCCTCATTCCTTTCAGTTAAAGTTCTTCTTTCATAGTGTCTTCTGCAACCCGTATCTAGGCAGTCTTGTTAGCCATCAACATTTTAACTTCTGTTTTCTGTCATATGGTCAATTGTCCCAGAAGTGGCACAAATGCCACTGGAAAGGAATGCCTTCCAAGGACCTTTTTATTAAGCGCTCCCAACATTTGTTCAAACTGCATGTGTCTTTCCACAAATTTAACTCCCAATAAAACTAGAAGACTGACCATATTCGATAATTTGACACAGTCTAATAACAAAGGCCAGCACAGGTTGTGGGATTTCCAGCTGGAATTTCTGCACTCTTGTATATAGCCAACGAATTTCACTCTTCCTAAATTTGTTAAAATCTGACCACACTTTGTAAGCAGTTAGTAAATCATCTCTTTAAAGAACAAAAAAGAACAGTACCAGCAAGAAACAGGCCCTTCAGCCCACCAAGACTGTGCTGACACAGGATGCCTTTCTAAACTAAAAACCTTTGCTCCTACACTTTCTGTAGCCCACGTCCTGAGGCAATGCACTCCAGGTGCTTACTACCCTCTCATATCTCCTTTAAACTTACCCCCTTTTACCTTAAACTTATGTCCCCTAGTATTTGATGTTTCTACTCAGGGAAAAACACTGATTATCCATTCTATCTGTGCCTCTCATAATTTTGTAAACTTCTATCAGGTCACCCCCCTCATCCTTGATGTTCAAATGAAAACAAACCAAGTTTGTCCAATCGCTCCAAAACAAGCATGTAAACCACTTCTATAACCTCTCCGAAGCCTCCACATCCTTCTGGCAGTGTGGCAACCAGAACTGTACACAATATTCCAAATTTTGATAAATTTAAACATGAAAGTTAATAATTTATCCAAACCTTCCATCTGTGTTCAAACCATCAGGCTTCAAATCTGTAAAAAATAAACAACTTTGCTACTTATCTTGCTACCGTACCGTAGCAAAAAATGTCAAGGCCACTCCTTGTTCACTCCTCAATAAAGCAGTATCATGGTTCACATAGTTACCTTATTCTTCTGATAGGTTATGAGGTTCATTTTTGGAAAACAGGAGTGGGCTGACATAAATTGATACTTTCCACTCGAATACAACCATCTTACAAAATTATTCTTTGGTTAGAATACTGCTTATTTTTCAATTTTTGACCTACAGGCAGCCTACCATCCTGTTACTAATGTTAAATACCGGAAGTTAAAATGCCGGTTAGACAGAGTCCAGTTATATTCTTCACTAGTCAGAGCTTTTTTTCTCTAGTTCACATACCATATACATCAACCAGTTTATTACTTGTTCCCCATATTTATACATCCAGCTCTCACTCATATATATAATCAACAACTGTTCCCTAGTTTCATTAGGTCTCAGGCATCCTGGCCAAACTCTTAAAGACTCTTACATGCAGCATATCAGTTCCTACAGGTATATCTAAAATCACAGTATAACTGCATCTTTATGGCAGCTGGGAGTATTTCAGCAATTTAAGTCTCTTTGTTCTACTTATTAGGCAACCCGATGAGGTATAACTCATGCTTACCCAGTTTCTTCAAGTTTGGTAGTAGATATATTATATACAGTCTGTAGTTCTCCTCATTCCTAGTAACTGGATTCAGGCGCAAGTCAAGTTCTTTCAAATTGGTTAAATGACGCAAGCTGGAAATCTCCTTTGAAGATGGTACATTATTATAATATAAATTTAACTTTTCCAATGAATGCAAATTCTCCAAACCCTAAAAAAAATTAAAAGACAAGTGTAAAGACAAAGTAATCATTCATAAAATAATTGACACCTTTTACACTAACACTTTACTTTTACAAGCTTGCCCCAAACAATAATCAGATACAATCCCTCTAACATGTGAGATGGACTGCAATAGAAGTAAATTTAAAAATACTGATCAACCACCTTCTATAAAAAGAGAAAAGATTATGATGGCTTTATTTTCCAAGATCCTGACGCCTAAGTGTTAGCTGTCAGTTCTGGACCAATGCCTACATTTTGTAGCCCTTTTGAGCAAAACCCAATTGGCCCTTGCAGCTGGCTCTACTTTACTTTATTGTTAGTTAGTTCTGTACTCAAGGAAGACAAGAAGTAGCATCTCCTACATTTTCATCTTCTAGGAATTTCCAGCAAACTTCTGCAATAAATCAATTACACATTCTCCCTCATCACATAAACGGATGTTCCTAATCAAAACAGGTTTGAACATTTATTACCCAATTCAATCAATAGTTGGTAAATTGTTTAATGTCTGTAAAGTCAAATACAGCAGCTGCAGAAAATCTGAAATAAAAATAGATCAGAGTGAACATTTTCAGTCTCCTTTAACCTTCTGCTCTCAGATCCAGAATAGAGTTCAACACCTTACACTCTGCCACAATGTATTCTGGGCTTAACATGACATTAAGTTCTTTTTCCACTGCCTTTACCTCTGCTTTAATCTGCTTTGCCAAGGGTTCACACTTTGCACAGCACACACTTTTTCCAGTCTTCAAAAGTTTTATTCCAGCTGGACTGTTCCTTCCATCCTCTTAATTGAGAGCTACCAGTGTGATATTAACTGCCTCAATTTCTCTGCATTCCTCAATCGAACCTACCTCCCTCTGAACTTCCAGAGCTGTTTTATCAGGTGCAACCTTAACATTGTTGACTGTGGTGCTGTCCTTGGTTGCATACCAACCTATGTTTTATGTAGACCCAAAATGCCAACTCCTCCTACCTCCGCCTGGAACAGCAAGACAACAAGACTGATGTAATCCTCTGCATAACTTCTCTCTATAGGCTCAGACTACAACTTCACAGTTCCCCTAAACCAACAAACCTCACTTCAAGCTCTTTCCCAACGTTAGCAAGGAGATTGAGTGGGGATATGATTGAGATGTATAGAGTTATGAGGGGCATGGATAGGGTAGAGAAGAAGGTACCTTTCCCCTTGGTGGAGGGATTAATGTCTGGAGGCATAGATATGAGGCACGGGGAAAGAGGTTTAGAGGGGATGTAGGGAAAAACTTGTTGACTGAAAAGGGTGGTGGGAATCTGAAATTGACTGCATGAGTGTTATGGACAGAAACCCATATAACATTTAAGAAGGATTTAGATGTGTACCTGCGATGCCAAGGCATACAAGGCTATGGGCCAAGTGCAAAATGAGATAGCTAGGTAGTTGTTTTTGACACAGAGTCGATGGACCAAAAGGCATTTTTCTGTGCTGTAGACCTCTGTCACTCTATGACAAACTGCCTGGTAGATCCATCACTTTAGCCTGCTTTTGCCCATAGAACTGATTTCTCCTACCAGTCCAAAGATTTGCAAGTTAGGTGACCCTGCTACATTGCCCATAGCATCCAGGGATGTGTAGATTAGGTGGATTAGCCATGAGAAATGCACGGTTACAGGGATAGGGTAGGTGGTTGGATCTGGGTGGGATGCTCTTTAGAGGATCGGTGTGGACTTGGTGAGCTGAATGGCCTGCTTCCACACTGTAGGGATTCTACGATTCTATGACTGACACTACTTTTCTCCTCCCCTTATCCATTCTTTTCTCCTATCTCCACAACTCTTCCAGTGTCTTACAGTGCCTTAATACCTAGTTTCCAGTTTCCTGGCACAAAACATCTCTTCTTTTTAACATGATCATTCAATCCTTCCACAACACCATCACCACCCTGCAAGACAGTTGAGGACACTCTGCTACTTCCTTGGAGGTCCAACTAGCCTCCGTCCACTGCCACTGTCTTCCTCTTGGTTAACGGTTTCTCAAATAAAACAACTTCTCTTTCAACTTCACTCACTGCGTCCAAACAAATGGTGCTCTTGTAAATAGGTATATAAATCCTAGTTACCAAAGTAGGCTTATTTTGGGTCATGTCAAAAACTCACCATCGCACTTCTATTCAGTTCTTTCCCTCACCTCATTTTCCAATGCATTGATTACTGTATTGGTGTTGCTTCCTGCTTTCAGTATAAATGGAACATTTTGTCAAAAATGCTTTCAATTTCCACTTTTCCCATGCTTTCATGTGCTCCTTCTCTGACTTTTGCAACTCCGCTTTTGGAGATCAGTTATCGATCAAAATTCACTATGTCCACTGTCTCCCAAAGTCACCTTGACTCCACTTACTCTTACCCTGTCTTCTTATAAGGACTGTTTTCTGCCAGTTTCTCTGGTGCTTCACTCATCAGATCTAATGATGCCACTTTTCATACTACTGTTTTGACTTGAAACTTTGATTATCTGACCTATAAATTTCCAGCTTTTTTTTTGATCTTCACTGTCTCTGAATATCCTATCTAATGCCTTTTATAACGGCCAATCCAATCTAATTGCCTTTTCTTGATGCTTAAGAAATTATCGTCCCTCTTAATCAACTCGAGAACTTCTTCACTGTTCATTTTCTGTCCAATTAACTCACTTAAATGACCATGCAGAAGACTTTATGAAAAGATGTTGGCCAATTCCAGAATTTCCACTCAAAGGGTTTCTTTTCTCAAGCTTTCTCAGCCTAAGAATTTTCAAAAATAGAGCAACACCACAAACCAACTGAAATTCTACTGACTATAGTTTTATATGTTATTCCTAGAATGCAAGTAATGCTGGTCAGACCAAATTTATTGCAAATCCTCAGCTGCGCTATAAAGTTTGTGGTTGGGCTTCTTTTATATCTTAATATCAAAGGCTAAGATACTTCAGTAAAAATTAATTATTCCTAATAATGTTTTGTCTAATCTTGGACATTAATACGATGCCACTAAACTAAGTGAAATAATGATTGATCCTTAAACTGCATTCTACATAACAGTCACTGCAGAGTTTGATTAATTATGTAGGATTGTTGCAAATATAATTTCTGAATAATACACAAATCAAAATAGGAAAGTGGAGGTCCCTACTTACTACAAATGAACAGGAGACTCACCCCGAGGCTGACAATGGAATTTCTCGACAAATCCAGAGACTTGAGTCTCCTGAAGTTCAAAAAAGCATCTCCAAGAGAGCTAATTTTGTCACTGTAGGTTCCCTGCAATGAGAGAAACTCCACTTCATCTGAAAAGAAAGCAAAAAGTTCAAGTGCAAGAATCTTTATTTACTTATAGTTTATTTATGTTTGTGTTATACTATGACCTGTTCACTCCATCTTTACAAGCACCATTATCGCGATTTATTTAGTGAAAAACTGAACTGAAAGAGTTGGCCAATGTGCTAAGAAAATCAACCTGTGTGGGAAAGATAATGGGCTGGAATTTTGGAAAAATTAACAACATGAATAATGAATACCACTATTAAAGCACACATTGGCCAAAAACATGCAACACAATATTATGGTGATTCTCTCCACTCTATGGTTAGCATTATGAAAACAGCATCTTACCCATAAACCTTCATGAGTTTCATTTGCTGCTGCATTTGCACATTAATTTTGTATTAGACGTAACTTTCTAGATATTTTATAATCAACCTCTTCAGAGATATTTTGACACTCCTCTGGAGCAGGTGAGACTTGAACCCAGGCCTCTTGCTTAGAGATAGGGGCACCACGACTGCATCACAAGAGACCCTCAGACATAGCTTTCTAGATATTTTCTTCAATAACTTGCTCAGAGATGTTGTTAGACACAGCTGGGACAGTTGGAACTTGAACACAGGCCTTCTGGCTCAGCACTGCACCACAAGACACCACTGGTCATAACTGTTTTTATATATCCAGAAGTATTATCATACATTACTGGATGACCTTCTCACCACCAAATCACCAGGAACATAACTTTCTATTGTGAATTTAATGATTAAAATATTCTTTTAATGTGTTAACTGTAATGACTTTCAATCAACCTCAATTGCTCAGAAAATGAATTACAACTGTGGAGTCTCATTCCCCTGGGTGTTATTTCCAAATGTCAAATTTACCAAGTGAGCCACAGCCACCTCTGGAAACCTTCCTGTTGAGGGGCAGGGTTCTACAGAGAGGATGAAAGTTAACACTTAGCCCCAGGCAGGGGAAGCCACCATCAAGAAACTGATGGTGTGAAGCCAAAAATGAGCTGGGATAACAGTGATTGCCATGGGGGGATAACAACTCACTTTGTCTGAATTGCTAGCCCGAAAGCCAGTGGCATCATCCTGCACCCCCAGAATTCCAACTCTTACCCAGTCTTTGGTTGTTCAATTGGGCCTTGTCTCTGATCCATTCTTCAGTTGCTTCCAACTCCACCGCCGCCATTTTCCTTTCTCTATACCCCTTCCCCTCTTCGACTAAGTATTTGTTTCCTTCTGTATGTCCCTCTCCCTGATAGTCACACAACACTAGTTTACCCTCCAAACAATCACCAAATCACAGAGCTGCCAGCTCAGACATGCACTGCGGCACGGCCATGCCCCCGGAGCAGTGAAGGATGCTGCGGGTCGTGCTTCAGGTTGCTAGGCAACAAGCACGAGGAACGCGCGGGGGGAGGGGCAGGGGGAGGAAGGGCGGGGTTGAAGTCAGGTTGGGCGGGGGGTGGGGAGGAGAGAGCTCGCCGCGCCCTCTGCAGGTGAGCGGGATAAGTGGAGCACGAAGTGATGGAGAGGAGAGGAAAACAGGCTCCGCAGCGACAGTCCCGAGTCACCAGTGGCAGGCGCACTGACGCCAACTTGCTGCACTTTTACTCCATCAGCGGCACATTGTGACGCAAATAATGCAGGGGGAAAAATATTATAAGGTGAGACACAATGCCCCAAACGCAGTTGCCTGCTGTGTATGTGGAGGGGGCGGGGGATGGTCAGCCTTGTCTCACAGGTAGAAACACAGCGGATTTCAAAGCCACGTGGATGGCCCTCAAGCTGTAATCAATCACTTGGCACTAGCCCCCAACTGTAAAGAGAGCCGATCTTTATAGAGAGAACGTAGTGCCTGGAAAGAGTGTCCCTGCTGTTGTCAGCCTCCACCCCTGCTTTCCTGACCTGCAGACTTGTCTGTTCAAACTGCTTCCCAACTCCCATCTTCTTCTCTAGCTGGGACTGGAAGGATTATAGATTTACCGCCTTGTAGTGCACAATGCTCTGAGGATCCCGGTGGGGGAATAAAAAAAGCAATCAGGGCATTCAAGGAATTTTATTTGTTTCAATTTCTCCTAACATTTTGCTGACTGGGGTCAAAATAAGGTATTTGGCTGAAAAGAACTACTTAACCAAGCAAGGAAATGTTTGTTTATTTCCCAATGGAGGCAAAGCTCTAAGACGTTCTGTGATTGATGGTGGGAATTTGGCAGGGGTCAGGGACACCATCAGGATGTTGAAGTTATGTCATGAAAGTTTCAGGAATGCGTCCAATCAGAGTTGCAAACTTTAACTTCAGCCCATCCAAAAAACTTTGCTGCTGGTATTCCATCCCATTGCCAAGTACTACTCATCCATTCCCCTCATGCTCGCTGACCTACATTAGCTCCTGTTGCACCAGCACTACAATGCTAAAGTATTCTTTAAAGCTAAAGTAAAATTTTTGAAGGCATTTCACAGGATCTGATGATGAAAATCAGACAAAATTATCATGTTGTAAAAGTTGTTATAAAACATGTGCTGCTATTCATTCTTCAACAGTCCGGTAAAAACAAAGGAAGCTTTCAAAGAGGACCTGTGCACATCTTGCTATCATCCCTATCAAACCCTGATATGGGGAATTAAGTGAAAACCTAAGTAATAATGTATAATACTGGGAGTAAAGGATTTAATTCTCTTCTGTGTGTATAAAATGTATAATTTTAATAATTGTCACACTAAGATAAAGTCTTGCAAGGAAGACAAGACAGTTCTTCTAAAAGTTCCACACATAGTGCTGCGTTGAAAGGTCAACCTGGATTATAAAAACATAAGAACTAAGAGCAGGAGTAAGCCATATGACCTCTCAAGTCTTTCATATTCTTCAATAAAATCATGTCTGGACTTTTACATCTGTTCCACTTTCCTGTCCTAGCTCATACCCCTTGACTCTTTGAGTGCCCAAAAATCAACCAATCTCATTCATTAAGCATCCATAGCCTCTGGCTGTGGATTCCAAAGCCTGCACAGCACATGAGCATACCTGAACATCCCGGTTTCTTGCGGGAACTCAATCCCTCAGCGCTCTCGTTCTGATGGGTCACAAAATGAAAATTTCATCCCCATGAATAAAGTCTGGTGGAGTATAACTTCTTCATTCAATAATACTTCCAATTTCATGGAACCAGACGGAAAGCTATTGTTGAGATAACAAGGTGTAGAGCTGGATGAGCACAGCAGGCCAAGCAGCATCAGAGGAGCAGGAAAGCTGACGTTTCGGGCCGAGCCCCTTCTTCTGAATCTGCAGTTCCTACTATCTCAGAAAGCTATTGTTGCTTGTTTTTGAAAATTCAGCCTCCTGTTTTTATTTGGCATAAATACAGTACAGCCCGGAATGACAACTCTTATGAAATAAAGGCAGGGGTGGTGATTGCTATTGAGAGCATAGGGTGCTCATGGAGTGGGCAGGCGGTTGCTAGTGAGAGTAGGTTTAGGGGTTAGGGTTGTTATTAAGGATACAGTGAATGAAAAAACATTAGGATGAATTCAGAAGCTGTATGGGGGCTACAATGCCATCTTGTGGCTTACAGTGGGAGTGTAGTGTGGCTGTTCAATTCAACACTATACAGGGAGCTACAAGAGGTGACTCCAGGCAGTGTCCCAGTTAAGTAGCCAGCAAAAACAGTAGACAGACAGGACAACTGGTGGCCTGAAAAGACAACAAAAAAAGAACATGGCGCATTGGAGAAATTGTAGCATGAAGGTGTGAAAAGTTGAACAGTTGGTCATAAACTATGATAAAAAAAGTACCAAAAGTCCCAGTCTCACAGACTGCAGACTGATGGGGAATGTCCAACAAGTGGGATAGAATCCCTGCTGGTTACGTGCTGTATCATCATTTCATAGGACTTTCAGTACTTTTCCAGACATTCTGTTGTGCATAAAGTAAGTTGAAAACACCTCCAGGTGGCTCGGTGTTAACAAGATGGATCCCACAAACAATCAAGGTTATGCAGTTACCTCCTAGCCAAAACAGGCCTTTTTTATATAGCAGGCCTACTTTAACATATTTTTCCACTTTACTTCAGTTGTTCATCATCATGTCTGCTTAACCCTTAATGGTCTGGTTTGAAGAGCTCATTTTTAATCCCAACACTACATACCACCCATTGACATCTTCAAAACAAGATGATCAAGACTTTACATTAGCATGTACATGTTGTTCAATAGTCGCCATTGATTATACGTGTGATAAAGTTTAAGATTGGTTCATGCTGAACTGATGACAAGTTATGCATGGACTTAAAAGATTCTCCAGCTCTTCCTTCATTTTTACCCATCTTGTGCATATTTCTTCAGTGTTTCCCCCTTATTCTCCAATTGTAACTTTTACCTCCTTCTCACTAAATATGACTTTCGTTGTTTTAACATCGGTTTCTTCATTGATTATGGGTCAGTGCCTTATTATTTAAATGTTGTTGTTGTACTCTACTAGGCCACATGAATCATTTTGTCAAATACATGTTTGAGACCTGTTCCTCTTTGCACTTTCGTCACTCATTCCTGCATGTTAGTTACTTCAGACGTAACAACCACCTCTGCACACTTACATCAGTAACCCAAGGTCGTGCCACGCATTTTTGACTTTCAAGCAATTTTTTTAAAACATCAAAAATTAATGGAGGGTGCCTATATATCCTCCTCACTCATTCCCAATGTTTAGGGTGATGGCTATATCATCCAATTAAGGTTCCCTTTTAAAAAATCACATGGGCAAAGGCTCACATATCTCTAAGGTAAAACTTTAATTATTGAACTATAACTAAATGAGTCATTCCCATCTCCATTTGATGTTCTGTCGCTCTTCTCTGTTACCATTCTTTTATTCTAAGTGTGGCCCTCATTAATTACATTATAACTGATTCAGGAACTCTGGAGAAATCTTACTGTCTAGAGGAGGATAATAAACCATGTATTCATGATAGCTTTAAAAGAGACAAACAAACATCATTACTGCGAGGTTTGAAGCATAACCAAATTTTGCTCGTTTGGTCTTTCTTACAAAAAAGTACAGACAATTTTCTCAAATGTAACTTGCTTGATTATACTCAACTTCTTTCAAAATTATTCCAAATTCAAAACTGACAACAATAGACTCAAGGGGTTTTTTTTGTGTATAGCCCCTGCAGTTTTGGTGGGCTGACAGGTTTCACTTGTGTCAATTAATTTCTTCCAAACAATCTAACCCATTTTTTTTTCCTGATACAGATTAAAACCACCCAAATGTTTCCCTTGGCTGTTGTTTTAAATTGAAATTTAAAGATTTACATTTATTTATCCTTTAAAATTCAATTGAATTTCACAATGCGTGCTTGAACTCTCAACTTGTACAAGTAATTTTATCAATTCCAATTCCAGAAACAATTACACCAGGCTTGATGGCTTTAAAAGAGTGCGGTTATATGGGAGATTCCAGTGACTAAAGTTTTAGAGAAGATTTGTAGCTCGGGTTGAGGATGAGGTTGTAGAATTGCTCACCGAGCCACTGTGTTTGATTGCAGACATTTCGTCACCCTGCTAGGAAACATCAGTTCGCCTCTGGTGAAGTGTTGCTGTTCTGTCCCACTTATTAATATGCCTCAGTTTGCTGGGCTGGTTGGCATTACTTGCGGTTCTGTTTTTCAGTAGTTTGTATATCAGGTCCAGTTCAATGTGTTTGTTGATGGAGTTCTGGTTGGAATACCAGGCCTCCAGGAACTCCTTGGCATGTCCCTGAGACCAGTGAGAATTGGTCATGTCTCTTGGTGGCTAGTTGGTGTTTGTGTATCCTCATTGTCAGTTTTCTTCCAGTTTGGCTTATGTAATGTTTTTCACAGTCTTTGTGGTCATCTCTGGTATGTCTCTGATGTATGGTAGAGTGACTAGTGTGACTGGCCATGTTGTGTCTTCTTGTTGTGGTCTGTCACGGAGGTAACAGCAGATTGTGCTTCTTGGGTATCCGTTCCTTTCAAAAACTCTGTTTAAGTGCTCCTGTTCTGCTTCATGCAATTCCAGAATACTGCAGTGTGTTGTGGCCCATTTGAATAATCAGAGACATATCAGCGATGACCACAAGACTATTCAGACCCCATGCATCAGGGTAGCCAAGAAACCAACAACCACCCTGTGACAGCTACTGATGAACGTAAAGGAACCCATAACCACAAC